ATGAGGTAGCCATACTCAACTAGCTCAAAGGAAGCTTCTTCTAGACCACACGTTGAGAGCTTCAATCCAATCCCCTCCACGATGTGTATGGTGTGAGTACGGGCTGAATCATTATGTTCTTCTTCTGTAGAAGCTTTTCCATGTCGCTAGAGAAAGCTCCAAGTGCAATTAATTCTTTCAACTTTTCTGCTCTGATAAGCTCTTCGATCAAAGTTTAGTGGTGTTGACATTCCTCTGTATCATGGTCGTGTTCTTAGCAGTAGGTGTGATAACTTTTTGAGTCACAAGGATATCCTCCAACTTTCATTGGAATGAGGTTCCAGGGAAAAAAATTATCCTGGATGGTCTCCGCTACTTTTGTAATTGAGACTCTTAGTAGGGTTGATTGGGAGGTCATAAGTCAAAGGTGATGGCCTTTGAAGATAGCAATTCACCCGTCACTCCTAATATTGAATCTTTCCCAACTTCATGGGTGTTGACTTCCCTAATATGTATATCCCAGGTAAGGGCAAGTGTGTTTCTCATCATATTGAGGTTGCGTTGGTGGCTGCAGAGGGTGACTCAATTTCCATTCCCCCAACAGAAGCTCCTCTTTGGTGAATGTTAGTGTGGTAGCTTGATCTTTTGAAGGATCAAGGGAGACTTGCACTCTTCAGTTGAAATGTAGTTGTTGTCGAGTTCAACTACTATGTCAACATCTTCAGATGTTGCATACCTAAAGCATAACGGAAGGAACATTCTTTCAATCCCTGAGCTACTACTGCAAGGGTGACTGTGGGCTTCAGGTCTTGCACCTTCAGTATAGCTTTCAGGAATGTTTGCAGGGGCTCTTCTTGTCCTTGTCATAGTTGTAATAGTGTCTAAGAGTACTTTTAGGATTTTTGCACACTAGTGAACTTCACTATGATCATTCTCTTGAATTCCACAAAGAGGTAATTACTCATAGTGGAAGATTATTGAGCTACTAGAGGGAATATTCCTTCAAGATAGAAATTTTGACATTTATGTGCATCACTTATTCTTGATATGCATATTATTAACTCAGAAAAATGACATGATTAGACAAGTTAGATTTCCCTTGATAGGAATCTAAGTTTGAGATTTTGAAATTTTTGTGCACCTCAAATTCAAAGTTCTACCTGGAGAAAGCATTCTTGAGATGATTAGCATGGGGTGACATATGATCAGTCAATAAGATGAGGTGGCCATACACAGCTAACTTGAGGGAAGCCTCTTCAAGATCACACGTTGGAAGCTTCAATCCTATCTCCTCTAAGGATTTCTGAGACAACTCTCATGATGTGTATGGTGTGAGCACTGGTTGGATCATTATGGTCTTCTTCTGTTGAAGATTTTCCATGTCGCTGAGTGAAAGCTTAAAGTGCAATTAATTCTTTCAATTTTTCTGCTATGATAAGCTCTTCAATCAAAGTCTAGTGGTGTCAATATTCCTATGTGGCATGCTCATGGCCTTAGTGATAGGTGTGAAACATTTTCGTGTCACAGAAATATCCTCCAGCTTTCATTGAAATGGGGTTCTAGAAAAAAAAAATTATTCTAGATGGTCTCCGCTACTTTTGCCATTGAGACCCTCAGTAGGGTTGACTGGGGATCATGAGTTGAAGGCAGTGGCCTCTGAAGATAGCAATCCACCAGTTACTCCTAATTTTGAATCTTTCCCACCATTTTAGGTGTTGTCTTGGCTAACATGTATGCCCCTAGTAAGGGCAAGGGTGTTTATCATCATATCGGGGTTGCATTGGTGGTCGCAGAGGGTGACTTAATTTCCATTCCAAAGAATTTCTATGTCGCTGATTGAAAGCTCCAAGTGTAATTAGTTCTTTCCATTTTTCTTCTCTAATAAGCTCTTTGATCAAATTCTAGTGGTGTCGACATTCCTCTATGTCATACTCGTGGTCGCAGTGGTAGGTGTGATACCTTTTTTAGTCACAGGCATATCCTCCAGCTTTCTTTGGGATGACGTTCTAGAAAAAAAAATTATTCTTGATGGTCTTCACTACTTTTTCCATTGAGACACTCAAGAGGGTCCATTGGTGGATCATGAGTAAGTGGCGGTGGCCTCTGAAGATAGAAATCCACCCGTTACTCCTAATTTTGTATCTTTCCCACCTTTGTGGGTGGTTTCTTCTCCAACATGTATTCTCCTGATATGGGAAAGAGTTTATTATCATATCGAGGTTGCATTGGTGGTCGTAGAGGGAGACTCAATTTCCATTCCCCTCGTGGAAGCTCCTCTTCAATGAATTTTATTGTGTTAGCCGATCTTTTGGAGGATCAAGGGAGACTTGCACTCTTCAATCGAAATGTAGCTATTGGCGAGTTCAACTACTTTGCTAGTGTCTTCAGATTTCAGACCCAATGCATAACAGAAGGGACATTCTTTTAATTTGTGAGCAAGTGTTGCAATGGCTACTGTGTGCTTCAGGTCTTGCACCTCTAGTATATCTTTATGGAATGTGTGTAGGGGCTCTTCTTGTCCCTATCATAGTTGTAATAGTGCTTGAGAGTTCTTTTAGTAAAAATGGTATTCACTCATAGTGGAAGATTATTGAGCTACCAAAGGAAAGATTCTTTTAGGAGCATGAAGAAAATTTGACATTTATGTGCATCATTTATCCTTGATATGCATATTATTAAACCCAAAAAATGATGTGATTAGACAAATCATATTTTCCTTGATAGGACTAGGTTTGAGAACTAGAAATGTTTGGGCGCCTTATATTCAGAGATTTACCTGGAGAAAGCATTTTTTTAGAGGATTAAGTTGTGGGTATTGATGTGTCCTACCTTTCACGGACTAGGGGTGCTAATTCTGCACTATTTGGGTAATATGTGTCGTTGCTCACACTTAGGGCTGGTGATAGGTCTCTCCCAACATTAGTGCCTGATCATTCCTAGTGCTTGATCATTATTGATATGTGGTAAATGTTGGCTAGGATGGTTGAACTGCTCCTAGGACACTGATAATTTCCACACCTACTTCTTGGCTCTTGGTTATGTTGAGCTACAAAATCTTAGGTGAATTTTCTAATGCATGCGAGAGCTTTCTTCTCTTTGTGCTACTTCTCTTCTTTTTTGTGGCATGATCCATGCTCAACGCATTTTTTTAGGGTTTTGAATCCATATTTGTCTCAAAATCACGCTTGAGGAATAGTGTGTAAATGAAGAGGGAGAAAGAGAATGCTATGAGGAATAGGAGAGGAAACAGATGAAGGGAAGAAAGATCAGAGAAAAGTGTCTGGTATTGAGGTTTCTCCTTTCTTGGACAAAAGGATCATAGAAAGGCCTTTACTACATTTAATTTTCTCTATTTCTAATGGTTTGACCTTACTGAAAAGATGTATTTGGGTCTATCATGCCAAAACCCGGAAGTGCGGGTCCCTCTAATTCTTGTTGCCCCCATCTATCATGGTATGTGATCTTGAAAGGCATTGGTTCCGAGTTAGGTCGTGGAAACATGAAAGTGAGTCACTCGACCTCAAGCCGCTAACTTCTAATGTCCAACCTCAGGTTCTACGCTGCTTGCTTATCTCTAGATATTCACCCCCAACCTCTCGACCATCTATCACCTAGTTGTAGTCACTCGGCCTTGGTTACTCGATCTTAGTCACCCAGCCTCGAGCTCTTCACTTTCCTGACTTGTGATTACATCCAACAACCCCACAACCACTACTCCCTCATGATGGTTTTTGCCTGCTAATGCATTCCAAGCCATTTGATTCCCAATGATTCGGACCATCCAATGTATACCTACCTAGACGACCTCTTTTAAGTTATACATTATCTACGTTCAAAACTTTCAAATAGCCACTTTTCCAGTCCCTACAATGCGCCGACACATTATAATAGCAAGACATATAGCCCTCAACATATGAAGAACATCATCAAGTGCTGTAAACATGCATAAAAAGTGATGGGCACTCATTCATCTATCAAATTAAAAAAAACAAAATGGTGCACTACTATTACAGAAGAATGTCTATCACAACTCTATAACACTCATTATCATATGAATAGCATTAAATGAATTTATACATTATATTATTTTAAATCATATTTGTGTCATATATTTATTCAAATATGCATTACATAAAAAAATAAAAATAAAACTGAAAAAAAAAAAAACGCATTACTTACATCTTTACATCACAACTCCAATCCCACCCACTCAAATTTTATAACAATTTATCCATTTCAACCAAGCAAAATTCTCATCTAACCCATCTCCCACTCCAATAAAAGATGAATCAGAATAAAAGATAATGATATTAAATCCACACCTCCATGACCAAAAACCAAAAGTCAGACTCAAACTCTCTCATTTCATAATTATCTATAGCAGTACTTGTATCACTCTGCTAACCACTCACGAGCAAACCAACAAAACTTGTACAAATTCAAACGCAAAGTAACTGCTGACACCAATACCCATCACATACACGTACACAACCATGCAGAAAGTGTTCATACTCCTACATATTCTTCCATGATTGGTACGCTTAAAAGGTTTGTTGGGGGCAACTACAGCTTATT